CGCCTTTAGCAAAAAAATTTGCTATATCATTGGCGTTGTTTGCTACCGTAAATTCATGTACGGTATTTGGGTTAATGAATACAATGCCATAGATTTTTCCTCTTTTGCATTCGAGAATCTTAAATCTGCACAATATAGTGAGGATAATTATACATGCAATGAACAAGCTGAGCTAGAGACTTAATTACAAAAATAATTCTTACAGACAATAGCAACTGATGATAGTTTTGTCGAGGGCGTCTTGATTGTATAACTGAAATAATTCATCAAATTCAACATACATCTCCTCGACTCCATTGAAGAAATGCTCATCTTTAATTCCCACAAAGATCATGTTGCTCCCTTCCTTTGAGGCTTTCAAGTACCAGTCATGCAATCTTCACATTTGTGTTGGTAGATGCGGGAGCTCCTCAAGTCTGACGAGAGGTTTCCCGTGCTCGTATCTAAAGGCTAAATCAACCATGGGAAACTCTCCATGCTCACCTAAGTATTGACCAAGAGTGAAAGCAACCTCCGGATCAATAACGATATCGGAAGACACCTTGAGCGGGGGGCACGATTGTTTTTTCTGTTCTCCGAGCTAGGGAATTGTTTCCCCCCTTGCACTACTACTACTTCCCGACCGCTGTTGTTCTTTATGTGACTTGATAATAGAGTGGTCATAGTTTGATAGCAGCGGAGGCGGCAACGGTCGCGTGAGGTTTTCCAGACAGCGCTTCGCTTTTGCCGGATCTATTTTCTCCTTTCGCTCGGGCCGTGTCGGTGCAAGATGGCGTTTCACTTCGCCATCCACGACCTTCTTGAGTTCCTCGCCACTTAGTTGGTATGGTAACTTGGCAGGAGCCTCCTTGACGCTTATTGTACCTGCTCTGGATTTCTTCATAGTTGTACTACTATCCATCGGAGCGGTGGTGCTCTTCCGCCGGGCCTGAGGCAGTGGAGGAGGCGGAGTCTAATGATGCGGTGGAGTCCATTGAGGGACCTCCTCCGGCGGAGTCCGCTGACGCGGCGGAGACAGCTGACGAGGTGGAGTCTATTGAAGCGGCTGAGGCAGTGGAGTCTGCTAACGCAACAGAGACGAATGAGGCAGCAGAGTTAGAGATGGATTGGTACTGTGAGGAATCTGCGGAGGGGCCCCCTCTGGCGGAGTCTGCTGACGCATCGTCCAATGTGGAAGCATGATGTGTTCCTTTCTCCATAAAATGATACTCCTTCTGGCATCTCCCAGTTCAGTATCTCCTTCACCTGTAACAATTAAACAAGGTTCATGAGTTTTTAAAAGATATGTTCATGAAACTTTTAAAAAATCTTCAGGTATTATTTTTAAAATTGTGTAGTACCAGTCAAAAATGTTTGTCACATTTTAAACAAAGTTCATGTGTTTCAAAAATATATTGTGACATTTTTGAAATAAAAATAGTATACAATGTAAAAAAACGTGGAACTTTACAATATGTTTTGTATCATTAAAAAATATTCAGTGTGTATTTCCAAATGATTAACATTTGTTTGAAAAATGTTGAAACATGTGTTTGAAAAATAATTATACAGGGTAAAAAATGTTCACGTTATTTAAAACAATGTTTCATACCATTCAAAAAAAATGTTCAATGTGTATTAGATGTTTTAACGTGCATTCAAATAACGATCAAAAAATTATATTCTAAAAATATTATCATGTATGTTAAAAAATCGTCTTGTATCAAATAAAAGTTCAACATGTTCACGGAAAATGTACAGTGTGAATTGGAAAAAGTAGTTATGTATTCAGGAATTAAAAGAGAAAGGAAAAAAAGTGCGAAAATACGAAGAAAACCAACAAGGAAATGGTGAAAACAGAAAGAAGAGAAAGGCATGAATGGTTATAAACTGGTCCATACTGGTCTGTAGAACATTCTCCAAACCAATTTAATTTTTTTATAGTCTCCCAAACCAATTTAATGAGCCGCACACTAGGACGTGAGCGCCCCAATGCCGATGAGGCCAGGCTGGACGCACTTTTTCTTTATTTTATTTATTTATTACTTTTACTTATATTTTTGAAATGGAAAATATTTTACATAATTTTATTAATGTTCACTGCACATTAGAAGCATGTTAATGTAATGTAAAAATTTGTGCACTCAACTTTTAGTAAAATGTTGATAGCATTCGTAAAAATATTCATGGTATTTTTTTATAAATGTTTATACAGGGTAAAAATATGCTTGTGTAATTTAAGAAATAATTGGTACCATTCAAAGAATGTACGTGACATTATTGTTTTTCCACGCGTTGCCAAATTTATGTTTTTGAAATTTAGAAAATATCTATATAATGTTTGTCCATCTGTAATGGAGATTACATTAGTAGGAATATAGGCGGAAACGTCTCCAGATTGGGTCTCAACTATTGGTAAAGCGGTCCATAGCTACAGCTCTAACTCGATTGTTTCCTAATAATTGTTGTACTGTTAAATAACAAGGCTTCTATTATCTATATTCTAGTTAATATGTGTGCTTGGGAGTCCTTGCAATTTGAATAAACCAAGACCTTACCATGACTGCAATTTTAGAGAGACGCGAAAGTACAAGCCTGTGGGGTCGCTTCTGCAACGATTCAAATGAAAAATCTTTCTCAACAATTCCTATTCTACTAGCAAGAGTAGACATGCAAAATTTATTTGTTACCGAAGAGAAAACCGTTCCAGTTGTTCCTGAATAGCTTCCTTCAAAAGGATTTCCGCTTGCTCGGTGAATATCTTGCTAGAAGATATAATTTCTTGGAATTGAGGTTTAGTCATTTCAATTATTTGCGAAAGGATATCAATTGCTAGAACCCACGATAAAAGAAAGAGATGTTGTGTATGAATCACTCACCTATTCTTCCGAATTATATGTATCTCACAATAAAACTAAAAAATGAGCGACCCTAATCACGATGGCCAAATTCTCCTTATTTTTAGCGATTTTTATTAAAAAAAATCTTCTACGCACAATAATATGTTGAACTACTTCAACAATAATTCACTTTTCTTAACAATAGGACCTGGGGATTTCTTGGTTCATCATGCTATTGCTCTAGGTTTGCCCCATTGTATGGGAAATACTTGAAGAAGTTATGCGGGGACATCCAGTACTGTTAAATAGAGCACCTACCCTGCATAGATTAGGCATACAGGCCTTTCAACCCACTTTAGTAGAGGGGCGTACTATTTCTTTACACCCATTAGTGTGTAAGGGTGATCCGATAAAGAATCAAACTTGTTTAAATGTTCCAGCTATTCTCTATTTCCTTGAAATTATTTTGCATACTTTAAAAACTATTTCATACCATTCAAAATACAATGTGTATTTTAAAATGTTTAAAATTATCCAAAATATGGTTATCATGTATTTAAAAATGTTAATCGTGTATTCAAAATGTTTTGCTCGTGTGTACAAAAAATATACAACATATATTAATCAAAATCGAAGAAAACTGAAAAAGTCCCTAAAAAAATCATAAAAACTGATAATAAAATCACAACAAAAAACACAAAGTTTTTCTAAAAAAGGATCGAACCATATATAGAAGTTTCCCAAAACCATAACTGTGGACACAATACATTTCCGGCTCACTAACGTGGTTTTTCTTTCAAGGATTTTTTCTTTCTTGCAATTCTGCGAACTTTGAATGCATCATTTCCTCCATTTCTCGGAACTTATCACGGAATCTAGGCCCACTAGGACTCGGCGGGATTTCTGGTAAATCAAGCTCTCTCTTATTTTTATGTAAAGGATCTTGTAGGTCAGGTAGTTTCTGCTATCTTTTTTTCCATTTGGATTTTTTTTGCTCCTAATGTTTTGGGGCTTTCGTCTTTCAGCGTCAGTGTCGTCCCAGCAGAATGCTTTCGCCGTTGGTGTTCTTTCCGATCTCAATGCATTTCACCGCTCCACCGGAATTTCCGACAGAGGCGAAACAAAAGGATCTCTCGGTTTGGGCGAGATATAGCCCTGCCGTATTAGCTGTACTGTGCACATGGTTGGAGTTTGCGGCGGCCCACTCAGACCGGGCACCGGGCTGGCTGATCCAGCCCATCACCGGTGCTGTCGCCTTGTTCGGCTGTGCCATCGAGATGGAGCCATCGAATGAACCAAACGCCGCCGCCTCCACAACTGACCTGGCCGCCCCGGCGAGTCGGCGACCCGCCTCCACGACTGCCCCGGCCCCCGCCTCCCCTTGCTCCCCAGTACCCATCACCCGTAAAGCCATCCCCACTCTCGCACGGCCGCGGCCCGTGGCGCCGCCTGACTCCGAGCTCGGCGACCTCCGAGCACGAGCAGTCTTGCCCACTGCCGCCGGTGACGTCCTGAGGACCTGAGCGCGACCTCTGAGCTCCTTCAGGGCATCGAGCTCGACTCGGTTGCTCGAGGTAACTAGTGCGATTGTGGATATTAGAAGTACTACCTCAGTTTCAGTCTTCAGAGCTAGCTGGTACTGGAGTATTTTCTTTCTGCAATGGGTCTAGTGATTAGTGAAGCCTGCCTGGTGACAATTATTGAGTGAGATGATGCTTTTGTGGCAATGCTAAAGCGTAAAGTAGTTTGATGTTGCAGATTTCTACTCATGTTATCTTTTATTCTTCTTGCAAGGCCATTTCATCTCACCAACTAGTTGTGTTGTGATATTTGCGCAAAAAATTAGGGCATAATATTTGCAAATTTCAAACATGTTTAGGGAACTCTAATGCTGCGAGACTTGATTAAGCTATTTGTAGCGCTCTTCTGGTCAATTTCATAGTATACGTGTGATGTCTGTAAATTTTCTGTTGGAGGTGGTACACCCTATAAAGTGTTATTCCTACTGCCACTGCTGCTATGAGTTGCTCTTCTGAAATGGGAATTGTTGAGAGTTAAGAGTTGAGATACAGGCTTTTGGTATTATTAATTTTATTCCTTAGTTGTAAGGCTTATGTTGTTTGAAACGGCCTGAATATTCTGTCCCCCTTTTTTTTTGTAGAATTTGAAGTACACTCCTGAATGCTCAGGGCCTGTGGTGCCTACACAGACTTGCATTTAAGAGTAAATCTGATGAGAAGATTGGCAGAACAGTTATCTTACATTCCCAGATCGCGTTCCTTGGTACAATTCAAGGAAATGTCCTCGTTCTCTGCTGGTCATGGACGCCGTCCGAAGAAGAAGCTTTATCACCGTGAGCCTGGTCTCGACAAGGCCATGGACCTCCAAAAGAAGCCCGCCCTTCTCCTCCGTCTCCGTGAGCTCATCCTGGCCCAAAAGACAGGTTCACTACTTGTACGTGACCTGGAAAAGGAGGTTGGCTTTGTCCAAAAATGGAACTTTGTTGCACTGATTGAGCGCCACCCCAATATCTTCCGTGTCTCTGGTGGAAGTACATCGCGTGAACCCATTGCTGTCACGCTTACTGAGAAGGCCAGAAATATTTCTGGTGAGGAGATCCAAGCACAGGAGCTGATGGAACCTATCTTGGTAAGAAATCTGAGGAAGCTGTTAATGATGTCCATGGACTGCCAGATCCCTTTAGAGAAGATTGAGCTCATCCAACCTGAATTGGGTTTACCAAAGAACTTCAAGGACAAGTTGATTCCAAGTTACCCTGATTTTTTTTCAATCCGTGATGTGAGAGGATTGGACCATCTGTGTTTGGAGAGTTGGGATTCTTCACTGGCAGTCACAGCACGAGAAGAAAAATTGAACTTCGATGGTTTCCAAATGGAGTACAGAGGGGTTCCTAAAGATGGAAATTTACTGGGTCCTTTTGCGTTCAAGTTAAAGTATCCAGCAGGATTTAGGCCCAACCGGAAGTACCTTGAGGAGGTAGTCAGGTGGCAGAAGATGGCATTTCCTTCACCTTATTTGAATGCTAGGCGAGTGGAGCCTGCAACTCCACAGGCTCGGAAGCGGTCTGTTGCTGTTCTACATGAGGTCTTAAGCTTGACAATGCAGAAACGACTGACATCCGACAAGCTAGAAGTCTTCCATAACGAGTACAGGCTGCCATGCAAGCTACTCCTTTGTTTGATAAAAAATCATGGGATCTTCTACATTACTAACAAGGGAGCAAGAAGTACCGTCTTTCTCAAGGAGGCCTACGATGATACTAATCTCATTGAGAAGTGTCCTCTGCTGAAATTCCATGATCAGTTTTCCTCTTTAATTGGACGGCCATGCTCCAACTTGAATATTCCACTGGCAGTATAGCTCGAGTATTGATTTACATGAGAAGCAAAACCATGGTGTGTCTGGCCGGTGCACCTTCTTAGTTGATTTCTTGATGCTCACATGAGCCCATTTGCACACAACAAACTATGTAAGTCCTCTGTACAATGGATGTTTCTTGCACCTTGGCTGTTAAAGATAGAACTGTAAACACCAACGTCACATCATCAAATATGAAGCCCTTCCAGGAATCAAGTTGCGGCTCAGCTGATAAGAGGCACAGGTTAAGTTGAAATGTAGGGATTAGGTTGAGGGATTTGAGAGGATTAACTCCAGTAGCTTCTAATTCCAAAAAAAAATTACAGCATCAGTTCTGCTTTGTATTAATATATGTAATGTTGAGTTTGCTTCTCCTACTTGGATGGCTTTCTAGGTTTGGCTCATAAACAATAATCTGACACTTATTTATCTGAAACTCTTTTATTCACCCAGTCTCATGTGGTTCTGCTTGCAGAAGGATATTTGTTAGTTGTTACTGTTCTGCTACTTCATTTTAGAGAGTTCTGCAGCATAAACTGTGTCACACTCACACAGTCATACCACTAGATGCTCTTGGTTGGTTGGATGTTTTTAATTCATTAGCAGCATTATCATTCCTTGCATGAACTGACCATCGGTAAAGGTTAGCGCATGAACAAGCTGGCATCTCAATCAGTTCCTATTTTGTTGTTTTCGCATCCATTAACAGGCAGAAAACACCTGTAAAATGCTCCAGATGCCGTCTATAATTGAATTTTCCTTCAGTCTAGCACATTGATTGGTCTGCTAATTTCTGAATTTGTTGGCAATGATTATCTACGTTCATTGTATGCAATTGAATCTTGATGCTCGTGCCGCTGGTTGACTTATCTGCATTGGACTTCGACGGTATCATTCCTTTATCGGTCTATTTATTTACTACCCCTGTAAATAAATGTAAGACGTTTTAAGACTTCTAAGAATGAGAAATGACTTCAGATGTAATTGCACATCTTACTAGATATAATTGATTGGTTGTGAATTGAGCCAAATATTTTTGTAGGCATCTGGATTCATAGACTTGCTGCTGGTAGATACTGTCCTTAATTTTGATGTCTTCCTATACTATTAGTTTTATCAGTATCAACTTCATTAACATAATGTGTTCCGTATGATTAAGATGTGGCCCTGATTAGTTTTTTCCCTTAACATCTTATTTATTTGAAGTATTTCAGATGTCAGATTGCTTGTTTACATGGATTAAAATGCTGCGAATAACATAAATCTGTGCTTTGTTATGGACCTGTTGTTTTTGTGAAGCAACTAGTAAGAATATCCCTTGTGGTGCATGCAAAATTTGATTTAATTGGTGAGCATGTTGAAACGTGTGCTGAACGCCTGAACCATGTCTTTGCATTGTTATTAGAAGTTTATTTGTTTTGGATAGTGGATCTTCTCCAAGGTTATTTGATAGCTCTCTTATTTTTTTTATCTCAGAATGTGAAATACTGCAATGTTTAACTCACATGCTGATTATGTTTTCAAACAACTACGAGTCGTCTTAGATAGCTGTAACATGTATATGCAACTTTCGGTTCCACATTCAACTACTCATTTTGCATTACCACATTCATCATGTGCCCTTTGGGATACTTACGAGAAGAAGGAAGATGAGGCCTACTTCCTTGCTTCAGAAGAAAATAGAAGTCCTGATAAGGTTTGTACTGTGATAGCTCATGATTACACCACTACAGTCTGCGTTTTGACAGTCACGACACCTTTTTGCTGCAGATTGCCCCATTTCTGTTAAGCCAGACCAACGCGCATGGGATTATCATCCTCACTCAACGCATCTTTGTAATGTACTCCCTCCGTCCTGTAATGTAAGACGTTTTTGTAGGTCAAATTGAACTGCAAAAACGTCTTATATTATGGGACAGAGGTAGTACAATATTGCAATCTTCAATAACAGTCAGTCTTTGTGTGTTGTCAGATTATTCTGTAGCGAGTCTCTGTACTGATATTGTTTCTGTGTGATGTAGCTTTGTGTCAAAATCAATAGGCTGTGCGCCAGTCAAAGCACAGGGACAATGCAATGGAGTGCTTTGATGGATTGAGTGATGGCTGAACAATGGCATCCGCCAAAAGGCTGTAGGCTAGGTGCTTGTTTAGCCCTACCAGCGAAATCATGGAATCACCGCTAAACCGTTGATCTCGGATCGGATTCTAAGCACGCAGAGCTTTGCCGGCTTGCTACGCCAATCAATATAACCTGCAACAGGCTATTCATGGGCAGGTTTGGATCCCTTTCAGGCTAATCTTGAGTACCTTGTGATATATTCCTGCATTGAAGTGGTTGTCAACATAGAATGATGCCTTGGTGGGGGATGCATATATACTTAACTCCAACACCAAGCACAGCTCTCAGTGGGATCGAATCAGACGGAACATGTGCCAAGTAACGAAGGACCAAAGCATCGGAGTGGACGCATGGAGGCGAGATGGGGGGAGGCCAACTGGCCGCTGCTCAATTATATAACCCCTGAAAGTGAAGAGCATGAACAGGAGCGGTGATTGGGGCCAGATTCTGCAGACACCAAGGGGAGCACCCACCTATGATGGTGGTCAGATGCACTGAAAGCTAGATTTGGATGGGTGCTAGTGGCTTACCCAGAAAAAAGTCAAGCAAATACTACAACGGATGGAGACCGGAGGCCCCCCGCCCTTTGCTGATCCTGTTTGTTTTCATTCTCCTGGTAAGCATTCCCAAACCATGTTATTTCCACAACTTGCACTCTGAACCTCTCTTCATAATTTTTTTGGGGGTCTATTATTGGCCACCAACAGCACATGATTTACTTGCCCTTGGGTCACTTTCAGCCTCTATTGACCCATCTGGATTTCCAATTAATGCATTTTTCTTGTACACCAGTCTTTGCTTGCCTGTCCCTGTCCCTGAGTAGCGTGGCCCGCTCATAAACAACTTGTGTGTGTGGCCATAGGCTAGGGCCTGCCTTTTTTAAGTTGGCAACTTCCACAAAATCCATGAGTTATCACTGCTTCAGGAACTGGATTTGGTCGCTTGCATGCTTTTGCTGTCTCTTTCTCCGGGCCCTGCCTTGACTTTAGGAAGCTACCACCATCTTTACTTGTCTTTCACTTTGATTCTCATGGTTACCACCAGATTTTGACCTAAAATCTTATTTTATTTGCTGAATTAGGTAGAGCTCCAGTTCTCAGCTCTTACGGTGGGTGCATCTTCCCTTTTCTGCTCCTGGGTATAGTAGGTTTTTGAACGATCTTTGATGAGCTTGGCTTTGAGAAGCTTCTCTGAATCGCGCCGTTCAACGGCGTCCCTTTGCTGGTCGAACATCGCAATTAGCGTGGCCAATCAATACCACCCCATGTCTCCATCATCATCTGCCCGGTGTCTATCCATTGGGAGTCCGACAAAGAAGCACCCGATCTACGTTGTGAAACAATCTCTTTTGATTGCTTGAATGAACGCTCGACCATCTCCATCGCCCTGGACAAACATTTGGACCGTCTAGCTATCAGCATCATGCTGGAGCCCCGTTTCTTCCCACTCGGTGCATAGCCAATCCACTGACTCTAGCAGCAGGCCATTTTATACTTGTCTCATCTGAAGAAAGTAATGTGTGCGTGCATTGATGTATACGTGGAGGCGTACCCTAGCCGTGTGTGATTTGGTTGGTTCAGATTTCGCAATCTGAGCATGTATTTGAGGGTGCCTGTACCTCCTCTCCTCTGCATCCAATCCATCGAATCTCTTTGTTTGCATGTCTCTTCTACTTGATCTTTCTTTATCTGTATCACGTCACCAGGTAGTAAAGCCGTATGGAGGGGAGATTTATTCTAGCCCAGTACCCAAGAAATAATTTTATTCCATGTCGACGAGACTCAGCACGAGCATCTGGAGAGGAAAATGAAACATTCCGCGTTTAGCTCATCGCCAAACCACACGCCGGCCGGGTCGACAATCAATTTAGGTCGGCATTTGATTTGATGTAGCTTCTGTCCACGTTACACATAAGTTGTTACATCGTGTACTATGTACGTTGTTACGTGTACGTTGTAAAGAAGCAATCTGACATCTTATGCGTTTCAGATGTCAGATTGATTGTTCACATGGATAAAACGCTGCGAAGAACATAACTCTGCTTTATTATGGACCTGATATTTCTGTGAAGCAACTAGTAAGAGTATCCCTTGTGGTGCATACAAAACATGTGCTGAATGCCTGAACCATGTCTTTCCACTATTATTTGAATTTATTTATTTGTTTTGGATAATGGATTTTTCCATCGTTATTTGGATAGCTCTGTTAATTTTTTATCTCAGAAATGTGAAATACTGCAATGTTTAACTCACATGCTAATTACAACTACGATCGTCCTAGATAGCTGTAACATGTATACTCCACATTCCACTACTCATGTTGCATTACTGCATTCATCATGTGCCCTTTGGGACACTTACGAGAAGAAGGAAGATCAGGCCTATTTCCTTGCTTTAGAAGAAAATAGAAGTCCTGCTGTGGTTTATACTGTGATAGCTCATGATTACACTACTAGAGTCTGTGTTTTGACAGTCACAACACTTCTTTGCTGCAGATTGCCCCATTTCTGTTAAGCGAGACCAACGCGCACAGGATTATAGTTTTCACTGATCGCATCTTTGTAATGCACACTGGCAATTGTTGAGTGGAGGGAACTCAAAGATGGTAAACTATAAGCGAAGATGGCCTACCACTTACTATACGGTCTTTATCCAGCAGGAACAGCTATGCAGCAAGCTGACATGAAATTTTTCTTCTCTTATTAATATCTCAGTGCAAATATTGCAATCCAGCAATCAGGGTCAGTCTTTGTAGCATGGGTTTGATGTTGCTAGATTATTCTATAGCAGAGTCTCTGGTACTACTGATACTGTTTCTGTGTAATTCAGCTTTGTGTCAAAATCAATACACTGCGCACCAGCCAAAGTACAGAGACAATACAATG